CCCCAAAACCCCAAAACCCCAAAACCCCAAAACCCCAAAACCCCAAAGGGTACTCATCTTAATTACATTTCACTAGGTTTATTAATCATGAAATGGTGATCCTAATATTTTTCTAAATCCCACTGGACAGATTTTACTGGCGCGGAGGCCTCCTCTGTCTTATTAGTGAGAGCGTTATTTAAATTAGTCGGAAGAGCCTTAAGCTCATTACATTTTTCTCCATTCTCGAACTTTCCTTCATAAATAATCTTCTTTCCATATCTCAGGACTCCTTTACCATGCATCATATGGTTCTTCATCTCGCCAGTGTAAACAGTACCGTTGGTAAAAATATATCTTCCCTTAACAGTATCATCATTTTTGAATAATCCTTCAAAAAGAGAGCCATCAGGGTAAATCATTTGACCGATTCCGTCCTTAATAATGCCTCCTTTCAGGAACTGGCCCTTATACTTGCTACCGTCTACCATGATTCAGGTGTCGTACATCTCTCTAGGGGTGTTCTTGTCCAGTCCGATGGCTCTGTTTGGGCTGCGTGGTCTTTTATTGCCTTTTTTCCCCATACGAAATTCCTCAGAAATAAGTTTCTCGTAGTTGAATTCACCAGCTTGTTCGAGAACATCCCTGATCTTGGCTAAGGTGTACTGAAGATCTTCTGCTGAGATCTCAATAGTTTTGTAGTTATATCTAAATCATATGTTAAAATCTTCCAAATTTCGCTAAAATGGTCACAAGATTTGAACCGAAAAATTCCAATCTGGTGAATGCACCTGATTTTCAAATTCAGTGGTTTTTAGCAATATATTCTGAGGTAAATTTATTTCAAACCGTTATTTCATAGCCTGAAATTTCGGTTCGGAGATATACTTACTTTCTGATTTTCTTGCCTTGCTTCACCACTCTAGTCTTTTCCACAATAGTTTCAGGTTGAGCATTGCCATGGTGGACATAATCAACAAGGTTGTAGTCCTTCAATGTTTCAACTCTCGACTCTTTAGGAGTTGAACTATCAGACTCAGTAGAATCCTGAGCAATGAGATCATCGATTTCCATAGGCTTTCCTTTGCCTTTCTTAGAGATATTAGACATCCGGATTTCTTTCTCTGTGTCTTTATACAAATTTCCTTCTGTTCATCAATTGACTCCCATAGTTGATATCAAACTTAAATTTATTTCATGTCTGTGCTTAAAAGGGGTTTTGGGGTTTTGGGGTTTTGGGG